AATCACCGACCTTGTCCATTTCTTCCAACACCCATTCCTTCTCTCCACCCCATTCCTTTCAGTAGCCTACTTCCTATATTATCAGCACCAAGTGGTCGCATCATTGCCATTTCTGACTCCTTTCGCAGCGCTTCTTCGCTACGTCCACCGAATTCGTTCATACGATAATCTGACACTGAATAATTCGACACTAAACCCTTCCTATGCAAAAATCTTCGAAATGGATTAGCAACCCTGACAAACCTCCGGGATCTAATCCAAATGCTTCTCTTCTCTCTTTAGCTCTATCCCTATAAACAATTTTCTGCTCTTGTGGTGGTGGGAAAGGTAATGCTTGATCTCCGTGGCCTTCCATCATAGCTGTTACGTACTGTCTTCCCCATTCAATTTGTTTTTCTTGCAGGTTCTTCTGCAATATTGTTTTTGCAGAATTCTGTACACAAATTGATTAAAAAAGCCACCTTATGTAGTTCACTCTTCTCTACATGTTTGCGAAGTACGTCAACACTAGGGAATGCCCTCTTGCATAACAAACACATTTTTTTTGCTTCATCTACTAAAGCTCGTTCCATCATTTCACGATGTTCTTGAGCTGTTGGAATATGACGTCTTGGTGGTACAGGAGCATCTGGAATAGTGTATTAAGATTTGCGAATAAAAGAAACTTCTGGAAGTACCATCCACAGAATGGCACTGTTCGACTGCGGCATGGACATCTAAAAAATGGAAATTTGCTAATTCCGCATTCTGAAAGACATTTGACAAAACTTACCATCCGTGGAGTTCTTCTTCTTTTCATCCCCTGATCCTTCTTCCTCCTCATCAGAGTCATTAACATGTGCAAGGGCGTGCTAAACCCAGACTTTGTAATACAAGAAGTGCTTTATAGATTAAGTCTCACTTAAGAAAAAAAAACCCTAACACTCACTTGGCTCTTTTCAAGCATTTTATGCGCAACATTAGCCCCACTTCCACCAGCTGCATCGAATGCACTTTTTGTCTCCAATGGCTTCACTAGTGGTTTTAAGGACATCTGCACTTTAGTGGCCTTTTCCTGCTTCTTCGCCCATTTCAACATTTCCTTTGCGATATCAGCAGCACTCTTCTGAAAGAAAGATTGAATCAAAGGGTCTAAAAAATCCAAAGTGCATCCTTGCAAAGGGACTTACTTTCGGCTCTTCAGCCTTCTCCTCAGATTTTGCCTCCGTCGTTGTCGGCTGCGTGTCACTAGTGGTTGTCGTCGTTGTTGTCGTCGTGGCAGCTTGACTCTGGTTCTGAGTCTTAACATAGAAAAATACCTG